GCTACAACAAGTACAACAATATAAAACAACAGGCGATTTGTTTTTGTGAAATAATCCCATCTGTAAAAATAAACTGCATGCGGAGAATGAAAAATCAACAAATAAACACAATAATAATATGAGTTTTTAGCAAATATTTTAAATTTTAACTATTAATATAATAAATTAATAAACGTCGAATGCCTGAAAATCATAACTATAACTATTGGGAAGACAAATTTTGCGAATAAAACGTGCTTTTTGTGAAAAGTAATTGATCGTGCTAAAAATTGTTGAATCTGACTTGGAACGTATGCCGGAGCAAAAGATTTTCTTATTTTATCAAGGGAGAAGGAAAACAAAGACATTTAATCACGATTGAACCTCTTTTAAAACATAATTTTCTTCACTTTTTAATATTTTTTACAACTTTTGCGATTTTTTCTTAATGTAAGCAAACAGGAATTTTTACAGATAAGATTGTAACAGCTGATGATCAGCTGTGTGGACGAGGCTACCTTATTAATTGTATCATGATACATGTAAAATGTTATTGTTGGCGTACTGCCATCACCAAGGCGAATTCACATAAGGTGGTACGCACTGATGTCAGAGTTGGTTATTGTTTACATTTTTATATTTAAAAATTTCCGTTAAATCAGAGAAAAACTTCGTTAGTTTTTTTAATAATTTATGTAAAAAATCTGAAAATACCAAGCATTTTGTAAACAAATATTCTTATATAAATAATAAATAATTGGTATGCATGTACCGACTTAATATAACAATTATATTATTTCTATTAAATATTAAAAAATATTGTTTTACATTTACGCTTTGTAGTTAACGCGATAAACTAAAAAAATTCTGTTCCGGAACATTTTATATGAAAAACCCACATTCAGATCTAAAAAAAATGAATACATTTTTTGGCATAACTTACCGACTCTAAACGGCTGCGATTTTCATAATATTTTAACCAGGTGTAGCAAACTTAATTTAAAATTGTTTGGTGTCAAAATTATTTTTTCTCATTTAGAATATCTTCGCATTATCTATCAAAATTTTAGTTTTTATATATCATTCGAAAATGTTTTTGGAAAGCTTTCAAACGATGTATAACATAACCACTTCCATTAACCCATAGAGCGCCATCTCGAAAAAATGTGATTTTTATTTAAGCGATAATGATGTGATTTTCCTAGCCCATTTAATGCCTTAGAATTATTGAATTAAAAACTTAGTTTCAATATTTTTTTAAATTAATTCATTTATTTTAGACGTTTAGTTATTATATTCATATTTAAATTGAAAAATATGATTTGCTTAAACCAATTTTCATCAAAATCCTACTTTTTCATTCGATATATTTATATTATGAGACCCCAACCAATTAAAATATTTATTATTAAAATATAATTTTTAAATACATAACTGCCTTTTTGTTAGGAATTTTTCTCAGTGGGATAAAATAAAAGAAAAAATTAAAAAAAGTGAATAATTTTTCGCCTGCACCGGTTTGTCAGAGAATACAACAAAAAGCTCATAAAACTTTTTAATTATTTCACAAAATGTGAGGAATTTTTCTCTGTGAGTTAATATAAAAAAAATTAACAAAAGTGAAAAATTATTTGAAAAAATCGCGAGATTATTTCAAATAATTTCTCGCCGGCGGCGCTTTTCAAAAGAAAACAACAAACAGTTTATAAAACTTTTAATTTATTTCATAGAATCGCATCCTTTATCCATCTGCGACGCTTTTTAACCCATTAGTGCATCACGTTTATCGTAAGTCTACACTTCAGGATTATATGTATTTATGAAAGTCCCGGTCCTTACTTTTCACAATAAAAAATATCAAGATATAAACATGAAGAATTTTAAAATTGGGTTTTACTGTAATGCATTTATATAACATTTAGAAAACTATTTTTTGTTAAAAAATCACTTAAAAGTTATTATCATTTAATAAATACTAACATTAAAACTACATATATTTTCGGCATTTAAAGGGTTAACACTATGTTATAGACACCAAATAAAAGCTAATTATGTTTTCTATATAATACTTTGGAAATGTATATGTGCTTATATCGGCCACTTTTCGAATTATGGGCACCTTTACAAAAAAAAGTCATGTTTCAAAACCCTTTTCTAGCTTTTGGCACTCAATGGGTTAATAATTCATACATCATCTGAAAGGCTTTTCCACGACCTTTCATATCATGTTATTTTTTTACAATCGGAAAATCCATTCCCGAGATTTTTAACTTTATATATACTGTTTTTGAACGTCTTTAACTCCATAACATTAAGAGAGCAAACCAAAAAAATAGTATCGTTAGATTCCGTATTAAAAGTACTATCAATGGAAAAAAAATTAAAAAATTTGGAGCCGTTTAGAGTCGTTAAGGAGTTCAATTTTTTATATTTACTGTGATTAACTAACAAAATTCTGTTCCGGAATGCTTTTTATAACAAAACCCACCGGGCGGCAGCTGACTACAACGTGTAAATCTTAAAAATGACTCCGCTGGAGTAGAATTTTCCATTTAAAACAAACATTTTTTCAATCGGAATATAATTTTTCCATAAATTTTTAAATTTTTATGTTTATTTTAACATATTATCTCCACAAAATTTAATATTTTTGTGTATTTTTAATAAAATAAATATACACAAAATATTTTCATTAAATGAATTCGCCGCAATTATTGTTTTTGACAACAATGCGTAAATGCAAAAGCAAATTACATGGAAAATTTTGTTGTTGACGAACTGCCACCACCTTATGTGAATTCGCCTTGTTCTATAACTTCACAAACATGCAGGGTGCTCAAAGTAAATTAATAAAGTAGCGACACGAGTTGTTGTACAACAAACGTCTACAAAAACCACAGGCAATATGTTTTTGTTCGAAATACTCACTTGTCAAAATTTGTTTACAAAAATGAACCAATAATTAATGGAAAATATGGCATTATTGTTGTACTTTCCAAAAATATGTTGTTATTTATATTAAAAGTCGCAGAGTTTTCTTTATTTTTTAAAAATTAGAACATTTTTAAAAATATTATACACTTAAAATACACTTTTTCACATTAAATACAACAAATTACTCAGAAATTTGTACAAAAGCAAGCGTTAAAATGAAAACAAATATGGCAACATAAACATTTTTGACAAGTAAGTCCACAAATAGCAAGTTTAAAAAAAATAGTCAGCTGTTCAAATGAGTCTACTTTATAAATTTACTTTGAGGGTGCTCTTATAAGGTGAAGTCAATTCAACAGCTGATCACTCATTTTTTTATTTGTACATCTATCTAGGGATTCATTCTATTTTTAGGACAAAAAATTAATTAATAAATTTTATATTCATTTTAATCCGTAGTAAATTTATGCGAAATACTCAAAAATTGCACAAACTATTTGTCTTAAATATGCATCTATTTTATCAATTATAGGGAACTTTTTACTAATCAATTGAGAGTACAAACATCCCACAATTGTAAAAAAAATATTAAAACTCGATTTTATCATAGATATCTTAATTTTTAACAACTTTCCGTGGTAGTGGTTGGTCATATTTATATAAAGATCATTATATATTTCTTATACGACACTAGTAGAGACCTACACGGTATTATAAGTTCCCAATATTGACTGATAAAAAATAATATGTATATAATTTGTAATTTTGCTACAACTTACAATTTTGTAATCTAATACTAATTTTTTGTTATTTTAATTGATAATTTATTTACTTTTTTAATATTTTATAAAAGGTTTATAAAACAAAATTTCCATACAAAATACCGTTTATAAAATAAAAATTTTGTTTGTGAATAATTTTTCAATTCATGTATAATTTTTAATAAATTTTATCTTATAATACATATTTACTTTACGTGAAGAGATTTTTGGGCATGTCGGATTGTCTTTTTGTAAGGTAAATTAAAAAAAAAACACGGTGGCAAAATGTAAATTTTTTGAAGTATCTACTTTTGTTGTTTTTGTAGAATTGACATCACCTTATAAGTGCACTCTGCAAACATGCTAACAAAACGCTACGTTATAATTAGGGTTCTATAAATCGACTTTCGAATAATCGAACAATCGACTTTTTGTCGAAAAAAGTCGAAAAGTCGAAGTCGACTATTTTGTTCCAAAAAAGTCGATAACTCGACTATCGTCTATGAAAAAAGTCGAAAAGTCGACTTTGTAAATAAAAGTCGAAAAAAGTCGAAAAGTCAAAAAATTCGAAAAAAGTCGAAAAGTCGGAAAAAGTCGAAAAGTCGGAAAAAGTCGAAAAGTCGAAAAAAGTCGAAAAGAGTCGAAGAGTCGAAAAGAGTCGAAAATTTTAAAAAAGTGGAGAAAAGGTCAAAAACTCTAAAATAGTCGGAAAAACTCGAAAAAAGTAAAAAAATAGTCGAAAAAAAGTCGAAATAAATCGAAAATAGTCAAAAAGTCGTAAAAAATCAAAAAGTCGAAAAGTCGGAAAAAGTCGGAAAAAGTCGAAAAAAGTCGAAAAAAGTCGGAAAAAGTCGAAAAGTCGGAAAAAGTCGAAAAGTCGACCATTTATAAAATACTAAAAGTCGAAAAGTCTAAAAGTCGACTTTTAAATAAATGAAAAAGGTCGAAAAATCGACTTCATAAATGGAAAAAATCAAAAAGTCGAAAAGTCGAAAAAAGTCGGAAAGTCGAAAAAAGTCGGAAAAAGTCGAAAAGTCGACCATTTATAAAATACTAAAAGTCGAAAAGTCTAAAAGTCGACTTTTAAATAAATGAAAAAGGTCGAAAAATCGACTTCATAAAATGGAAAAAGTCGAAAGGTCGAAAAGTCGACTTTTAACTAAATGCAAAAAGTCGAAAAGTCGACTTTTAACTAAATGCAAAAAGTCGAAAAGTCGACTTTTAACTAAATGCAAAAGGTCGAAAAGTCGACTTTTCGTTTCAACTATAGAACCCTAGTTATAATACGTGGACAGCAACGTTAGGGTAACTCTTCCTTTAAAGAATGAATAAATTCGAATTGGTAACCCTTGTCGTTCGAAATTTCTGGTTTTTTTTTTCGAAAATAATATAAGAATTTGACAATCAATGATTTGCAAATAGAAAATTAAGAAAAATTAAAACGAACGGTTGATAGATAACAAACATTTAAGTTCAAGTGTGATTCAATAACACCAAGAAATAGAAAAAGGAATATTAAAATTTTTTAGTGAATATTTTATAAAAATTCAAAGCATTAAATATGGTTAGACGTGGACGTTCTGCAAGCCCCCCACCAGCTACAAGAAGGTATGAAAATAAAAATGTGACAATTTTACATTGACAAGTTTTTAAATGTTATGAAATCAGAAATTACTAGAAATATCTTAAAATAATATTGTTGACGAAAAAAGAAAGCATAACTGTTTTTAATGTGAACAATTCAACAAGAAGTTCGATCAATGTTTTAAGAATGATACATATTTCTCAAAATGATGAAATTACAAACAGAAAAACATCAGTGCTATGCTAGTACAACTGTTACATAACCTCATACTTACGCTTTGTGCAGCAAAATCAGTGTCACCATTTTGGCATTTTTGCAGCTAGATTTAGCATTTTTGATTTAGCTGTAAAATTTTAATTTAGCATTTGGCATTTTATTTAGAATTTTTATAAAATATTTTTAGCAATTTTAGCTTTTTTTGCAATTTTAGTATATAAACAAAAAAAAAAAAAAAAGACAAATTTTTGCAAAAAAGATTTATATTGGAAATAGGTTTAACCGGAAAAAATCAGAATTAAATGTCTACCCAAACCATTGCTGTAAAATAATGATTAATAATCGTAATCATTATTAATTAGATTATTTTTATTAAAAAAGTAAAATTAATGATTAATTAACGATTATTTTCAGTTTTTTTTAATTGATTACGATTAAAAATAATCTAAAAATAATCAGGGATTAATTGAAATTAATGAAAATAATCAAAATTAATAAAAAAATTAGTTGATTATTTTCAAGGATTAATTTTGATTATTTCCCATATATTTAGTATAATTTCCTCCCAAAAAAAACTCTAAAAAAATTTAATTATTTTTCCCGTAATCAGCTCAAAATTACGGATTTTTTGAGACCCATTTCGAAAAGATTGCAGTATTTTTTTTTTTAACATGTACTGAGATCAAAATTTTCAATAGAAATAAACTTGGTAAAATGATTGTTTTTAATAAAACAGTCATATAATTGAATAGTGTCATAACTTGAAAAATAGTTTTCCATTACACTTAATGTAAAAAGGTAGGATATTATACTATATATATTGAAATTATTCAAAAATAATCAAAATTCTTGAAAATTATTAAATTAATCATTTGATTATTTTTGGTTATTTTTGATTATTTTTATTAATTTAAATTAATCCTGATTAATTTTAGCTTAATTTTAATCGTAATCAATTAATAATCAGACATTATACCAGAGAATTAAATATTCATTACGATTATTTTTGAAAAATAATTTAATTGATTAATCGTAATCGAAATTTTACAGCTATGACCCAAACACAAGCAACAAGAAATATGAGAAATGTAATAATTTACACTGTAATTCAAAATAGTGCAAAAAGATTCATGAAGATAAATAACTTAAAATTACGCCAATACAAGTGAATACTTTAAAATGTTGCATTCTAAAATATTTTTCTGGAACCCAATGCTTTTTTTAAATTCGAGGTGATAGAAATAATTTAAGAGATTTCATATATTTTTACAAATACGTTCAGTACGCTATTTTACAAACTAATACTTTTTGTTTGCTCACGGAATGAACATATAATTTTTGGAAAAGGCTATGTATGACGGTTAATTAACAAATTTTATTTTTTCCTATACGAAATAAAGAGGTTTTAATTTTGATCATCCTTCAGGAGTTCTTGTTAATTTATTGAAAATAAGTATTGAAAAAAATCAATAATATATAATTAAGACTTTCTCATCCTACTTTCTGTTCTTTTTATTTTTACCAAATTTTTAGTAATTTTGTATTGAAAAAAATCAATAATATATAATTAAGACTTTCTCATCCTACTTTCTGTTCTTTTTATTTTTACCAAATTTTTAGTAATTTTGTTGTTGTTTTTTTTTTTTAATTAAAAAAAAATACATAAATATCGAAATTATTATTGACAAGTTATTTCAGAATTACGAATTTGAATATATCTCTCAATTTATTTCATACATTCTCATATATATTTTTTCGAAAAAATCTTGGAAGTATGAGTTATAACCTGACATCTAATCACCGAGATTTAAAATTATTTCAACGGAATTTTCATTTTTTTTTTGTGACATGAAAACCATTTTTAAAGTGTTTTGAGGAAGACATAAAATTGTTTATATAAAAAAAGTAAAACTACACCATTTCAAGTTTAAATTGAGAAAATCCAAATTTGTATTGCGAAAAACCAAAATGAATTTCAGAAATCCAATTTAATGTTGAGACATAACAAAATTAAATTTAGGAAACAAAATTAATATTAAGAAAAAACAAATTGAAATTTGAAATTTCAACTCAATATTGAGAAAAAACCAATTGATATTGAGAAATCGAAATTAATATTGAGACAATACAAATTGAAATTTATAAAATACAAAATGATATTACGAAAACGTAAATTAATATTGGTAATAATAATTTTGTATTGAAATTTATAACATTTTAAATACATAAAAGATTTATAAAAAAAAGTATTTTCAAATAATTTCATACAAATTTTAAATATCTCATTATCATTTATTAATTTCTCAATTTTAATTTGTAATTTCTTAATATAATGTTGGAATTCTGAATTTCAATTAGTGTTTTCTAGATGTTAATTTGCATTTCTTAATTTAATTTAATTATTTATCAATATTAATTTGGACTTCCCATTTTCAAATAGGTTTTTCTCAATATTAATTTAAATTTCTGAACTTTAATTTGTATTTTCCAAATTTTAATTTGTAATTCTCAATTTGAATTTGTATTTTCTCAATTTAAACTTAAAATGGTGTAGAAATATTATACTTTTCCTTCCGAAAACACATATAGGTTTTATACCATGAGCAACTAGTGTAATTAATAGAGTTTTAATCTAATTTTTGCATTCAGAAATATTTTAAAGTTAGAGACATTACATATTGCTGAATTTACAAAAAATTTTAGCATTTCTGTTTATCTTAGTACCACGGAACTTAATTTTTTACCCTACTCCACTATACTACGTTTGAGTATACTAATCGGTTAAGAATCATTTCCTGAATCGATTAAGCCATGTCAGTCTGACCGTCTGGTAGAGGTGGAAATTTTCAAAACAATAAGCACGTATGCTTTTTGGTCCAATGACAAAACCTTTTAAAAATGGTTAAAGTCCGTCCTTTATTTTACCTAGCCGCCATACATATACAAATGTATAAAGCCTTTCTCAAAAAATTTGTTTAAATATATCGGAACCAAGGTGCAATTCAACATAAATGCTTTATTACGAAAAATAAATCACATTTTATACTCATATCTGGGGTTGTTTATGATATTGTCAACCACGGCAGAATATACTTTCTTACTTGTTATAAATTACGATGAATTACAGTTGCAAATTAATATGAATTGTTCATGAAAACACTTAAAATATTTTAGCATTTTTTTGGCATTTTTAAATCAATTTAGCATTTTTTCTAGCACTATTTTGGATGGGATTTAGCCGCAAAATTTTTAAAGCAAAATAGTTTAAAGAAATATCTACACTGACAAGCTAAATTATTAGCACAGAAAGCAATAAAACATTTGTTCGTTTTATTGGTCACATTGAAGAGATTTTTTTATAAAGAGCAATAAACAAAATTACACTGGTCTGCAAAAACAAATTTTTTTCGCTCCTTTAAATTTTAATAGCTGATTAGGATAGACTTATTGCTCCTGAATCCAGGCGTGGTAACAAAAAAATTTTATCAATTCTACTTTGTTTTTTAAGTTACTTAGTTTCCAAAACTAAGATTTATTTTGCCTGTAATTAAAAATTATACAACGCCATCCCCAATTTTAGCTAGAAAAATCTAGCTCATATGTTCCAAAGTTACAATTTCAGTTTTTATTTTTTGGTTCTCCACCATAATCAAAATTAAAAACTTAGGTTAAGGTAACACGATTGCACATGGTCAATATGCACCTCAAGAAAATACTGTAACTCGGTACAGTTATCTGACGTCACACATCGGCCAATGCGGTTTGAAACGTAAAACTCTCGAAGGCAGGGCAAAAAGGATGGCCTGATTACCCTTAAGCGATAATGGCAACGACGCACGACGGTCTACCTCCACCCAGAGCTGAATTACGAATGTCAATTCTACTTTATAAAGTAAAATTTTAAAATGTGGATAAAATTGACAAACAAAAAGTAAAATTTACTATAAGGATGTCTGGATGTATATAAGTTATTACTTTGCATTTGTTTTTCTGTTCATTGATGTTTCACGGCAAATAGACCAACAAAAATCTGCAAGCATGCCTGAACATTTTCCGTAGTTTTTTCTTCATTTTTATAATATCTCTTGGTAGAACCCTTCGAAATTTTCATCTGATACTGCACCAAGATTTTCAAGAAAAAATGTGAGCCCAAAAAATTAAGTTTTAGTGACATATTTTGTTTAAAATATAAAAAATGCAGAGAGCATTCCCTCATTTTTTTCATTACAGTTTTCAGCTCTTTGTTTTATAATAAAAAAAATTTTAAATCTACAAATGAGACACCTGCTTGCTCATCTTCTACTTCATTGAAGTGTTCTAAATACTTACAGTGACCAGATTTTGGAAATGCAAATAGATGACATAAAAAAAAGGAAAACATTTGTTTACATATTTTACAGAAAAAATAAACTATTTATATTACATTTAGATTTACTTATACCCAGCAAAAAAGTAGTAAATGCATGGGTTTAACTGATAATGAACTGGTTCATATTTAGGTGAAACATGCATGTCTTTAACATTAGCGTGTCATTGGCGAGCATGGGTTCGTATTTGGAAAAATAATTCGTCATTAAAATGAGTGCTTATAAACAATGAACATTTTATTATTTTGTTTTTAATGCGAATTTTCATTGGTGCACTATATTTATTTTCAAATGCATTATTGAAGGTACTATGAATTAATTTTTACTATTTAAATTATTTTTTTAGCGTGATATTGATAAAAATTATGTATGATAACAAAATAAAACATTAATGACTGATTTTAAAATGCATTAAAATACCCATTATATTTTCAAATCCGTTAAATAGTCAGTCAACTTGGTTTTTTCCTTTTCGTATTAAGATTTAAAAATGAACTTGATATTACTTATTTTAACAAATATTATATACAAAAACCTAATAGAATTAATTTTATTTTTAATATTTACTGGTTTAAAATTCACGTTTCATTTAAATCCTAAGAGAATACCAAATTACAGTGAAATATTACAATTCCTATATTATAGTTACATGAGTGAATTGGATGCAATTTTTCATGCGTTCACTTATGACAAATTTATTAGAATATAGGAATGTATTTAAAACGCATTATATTGAAAACGTACAAAAGAAATAGTGAAAGTATCCCTTCTTCTTGAATAGCTTCAAAATTTTTTTGCTGGGTAGGTAAATACAGTGGTTTCCCGGTTTGACTAAAGATACAATGTATTTGGTTTAAAACATTTTGTTTATACTAGGGATGCCAAACGGAACTGGCTTTTACAAATCCCGGGATTCGGGATTTTGAAAATTTCAATCCCGGGATATTTCGGGATCCCGGGATTTTTCGGGATTACATAAATTTAATTATTTTATACATGAAAATCTTAATCATGTTTGTGAAGAAAATTGTTTAATCTTGTGGAAATTAATCGACAGAAGATAAATTTAAATTAAAACAATCCAATAAATTTCAATTCTTAAATAAAAACTTTTAGAATATCATAATTTCAGAAATTTGATAACTACATACATACTTCTCAATAAAAACAATTAGAAATTACATGGCCAACTATATGATACCCTACACCATGGGAATATTTTAAAAATTATTTATTTTTCATAAAAAATTTATTGAATTTTACCTTAATTCCGATGTATGTAAGCAATGAAAAACTAAATTTCTAAAAGAAGCTTTATGTGGAAGCTAGGGTCAAATATGGGCCGATCAATGTCATCGCGATACTAATGGTTATAAGTACATTTTTGGACGTTTAAGATATTTTTTAAAGGGGGGTTCGTATGGGGGCTTGAAATGCAAAACCTTCTAGATATCATTTTAAAATAAATTTTATATTTGATTGCCGAAAGCAAATAAATATTCCGGTATGTAATGGAATTCGAACGATTTGAAAAGGTATGATGAATTTCGATCGAGGAAAGGTTTATTATTTTCTTGCAAAATACTACAGACAACAAAATACTTTCCGTCTAAAAGAATCAATTTAAAAAATGTAATTTGTATGAAAAACAGCAGAAATTGAATAAAACACAATTTTTATACCCTACACCACTTTAGTGGGGACGGTATATTGGGTTTGTGCTAATGTTTGTAGCATACAAAAATATTCGTCCTATACCCACCTTAAAGTATACCAATCGGCTTAGAATCGTTTTCTGTCTATGTCCGTCCGTCCGTGTGGCTGGCTGCCTGTCCATGTAAACCTTGTGCGCAAGGTACAGGTCGCAATTTCAAGATAATTGGATGAAATTTGGCACACACTCTTTTTTCGGCCCAAGAACGAAGCCTATTGAAAATGGTTAAAATCGGTCCATTATTTCACCTAGCCCCCATATAACAGAACCCCCTAAAAGGGCTTCTGAGCTCATAGTTATGTTAAATATACCTGTATATTGATAAAAAGCGGCACCACTAAGTTTTTTTCTATATCGTTTGGCGGCATTCATAGCCGCAAATATTAAACTTTTTTTCAACCGGGAACTGCACTTGTTCCCAAAAACCATTTGGCATTTAAGCACTTGTAGTTCTGTTACCTCATTTTATCACGATTATACATATGAAATATAAAAATATAATACAAATACCAATAACAATAGTAAAACGACAATTGCAGTGCCCTCCGAACCGTAATTACAGAAACATCGATTCCAAACACTTCTTTAATCCCTACAGCAATCTGTATTATGGAACTTTTTATTTTTCTTAAATACATAGGAAAATAACGAACAAAAATATCGTTTGTAGACTGATCGTGTAATTAATGTTAATATTTACTGAGACTTTTTAGTTAATACAAATATAAAATAAAAGTAAACAAAAAAATCAGCAAATTGGTACTATCATCTTTAGTACCAGGTGTACTTTTTTTAAAAACCGATGTGTTAGGTTAATGTTCAAATCAAAGATTAGAGTTTCCTCATTAAAATCTATAGGAGAGAGATAGTTTGTATAAAACCAACTGAAATCTCTCATATGTCGATTTATAAGGGCACTGGGACATGTTCAATATATATTGATCAATTTGAATCACGACCCATTTTAATGGATTGTATTAATCAATCCTCTCTTAGGTATGCTACACGTTAAATATTTATCACCTCATTAATGTTAATATTTACTGAGACGTTTTAGTTAATACAAATATACAATAAAAGTAAACAAAAAAAATCAGCAAATTGGTACTATCATCTTTAGTACCAGGTGTACTTTTTTTAAAAACCGATGTGTTAGGTTAATGTTCAAATCAAAGATTAGAGTTTCCTCATTAAAACCTATAGGAGAGAGATAGTTTGTATAAAACCAACTGAAATCTCTCATATGTCGATTTATAAGGGCACTGGGACACGTTCAATATATATTGATCAATTTGAATCACGACCCATTTTAATGGATTGATTAATACCTTAGGTATGCTACACGTTAAATATTTATCACCTCAGTATTTGGTATGTGGGTTGGCGGATTAATAACACAAATTTAGGAAAAACTAATATTCTTTTATATTAAAAAAAAAAACAATTTATTTATTTTTCCACATTTTACAAATGTATCGTTATTGATACCCCACAGAAAATTTTCAGAGTACTCGGAATTGTAACCAATGTTGTGTGCTTAACTTTGTGTTACTTATAATTTGATTTACTTGTATATAAAACCTGGATATGAAGTTTAAATTTTTAATAAAATTTTTTTGCATTACATCTTAATATACATGTGATACATGATGTACTTATATGAGAACAGAAAATTAAAATATAAAAAAATCAAGTGTGCTGTAATTTAATCAACAAAAAATGTTTCATTTATTGAAAAATATTTTTTAGATCAACATTTTTTCAATGTTTGGATGAATTTTAAGCTAAATTTATTGCTTAAAATTAGGATCATGATCTAGCAATAATTGGAATGGCCTTATACTTATAAATGAATTTGTAGATACATGTATTTGGGTAGCATTTTTAAAAAATATACATATTTAGATACTTCTTAATACACATGTATTTGAACTAGAAAGTTGTTGTAGATACATTTTGATACACTTGTGTTCCAGCTAGAAAGATGCTGTAGAAACAATTTTTTTAACTGTTTTTTTGTTATAAGTAATATAATTTGTTAACTATAACTTATATATGATATAAGGACACAAAGAGGAATTCATACTCAATATGAATTGGCCAAAACTAAAACAACTTCTTAATATGTACATACTTTTAAAATTAATTTCTAATAAGAATTTCATAGCATATCAGTAATTTTTTATAAGAGGAGCATAGCTAGGAGTCATTGCGGACATTATACGCTTTATTTGACAATGTGAGATGCTGTTCCTTGCATGCTTTATCCTATCAAGGATATTCTGCCTAAAAGTCACTCTGTCTCCAATTCGATGAGTCTGAACACAATATTGAAGAATTCGACATGAAAACCTCTGCTGTGAAAAGATTAATGAATAGAGTATTTCGTCATATGAAATCCAAAAAGCCCTAAGTCACATTGAACAAATTTTTCAGGAGAAGCAAAAAACCGTCTAAAATGATAAATAAACCAAAAATGTTCAACATTTTCTCAAGTTAAGCTTATTTCTTATTGACAAATTATTATTTGTTTTTTTGTTTTACTTACGGAGATATGAAATTTGCGGTTTTTGTTTTACTTACGGAGATATGAAACTTACGCCCTTGAGAATTTGTTTTTTCTGAAACCCAAAGGGGCGCAATTTTAAGGTAATTTTAGAACATAACCTTTTAGAATTTCTTTGATAGAGACGTTGATTTTAATTGTAGGAGTGTAAAATTTAGCAGGAACATGTATTTTTATACGGTGCACCATAATCAATCAAAAAGTCGATTTTGATTTTTTTTGTAACTTAGGGCTTTTTGGATTTCATATGACGAAAACCCGGTGAATTAAGAAATAAAATATCAGCTGATTGAACACCACGTGGGTTCGTTTCCCACCAGAGACCAGAGGCACAAAGTATACAGAGGTGTCACTTTTCACAATTCAAATAGTCTAAAATTAGCATTTGTTTGATTTTGAAATTGTTTTGATTTGATTGAAAGAGAGAAAAATAGGTTTTTGCTCGTGACACCTCTGTATACCTATGCCAGAAGAATACCCGTTCTAGCTCTATTTTTATATCACATTGATAAAAAATATGTTTTTTCCCTAAAAAAATAAAGTCATGCACAAATATTTGATTTGTTAATATGTATCTTTTTTTAGAGCGGCTCCAGCTCCAGCACCTACTCCTAATGTTCCTGCTCGTGCAGCTCCAGCACCTCCACCACCAGCTCCCATGCAAGCTGCCCCATCAGCGGTAGGAGCTCCACAGCAACCGTCCATGTTTCAACAAATGGCCGCAACTGCAGGAGGAGTTGCTGTTGGTTCTGCTATTGGGCATACTGTTGGTCATGGTCTCACAAGTCTTTTCAGTGGCTCTGATAAGGAAACAGCGGCACCTGCCGCAGCTGCTCCCGTTGCTCAACCCCAACAATACAGTGGTATCGCTCAACCTAATGAACCACAAGGACCATGCAGCTGGGAAATTAAGCAATTCTTACAGTGTGCTCAAGGACAATCAGATTTAACTCTGTGTGAAGGTTTTAATGAGGCTTTGAGACAGTGCAAAGTTCAACACCATTTGCAATAGATGCAGTGTTACATAGTTAAATATTTATGGATCGAGTATTGTTTAAGATGTTTTAAGACTCGAAAACAACAACAAAAAACACGCAAAATGTAAACTAATTTTATTTTGTTTTATTTTTAATTAGAATTATTATAATAACTTTATGTTTATGTAAAAAAAAATTCCCAATAAAATCACTGGTAGCAACAGTAGTCATCAAATAAATAGATTTAAAAAAGCTAAATTCTCCCCTATTATGTAAGTCGTTGTCAAAATTGGTGTCGACAACTACTTCCATACATACATAATAGAGTGAATAGCGTTTATTGTTGGTAGATGTCCTATAGCTTTTTAAAATATGGTAAGATGTTTTTCATAAAAGCACTAGCTACAAATAGTTTTAAAAATATTCGTTATTATATACTACAGTTGTTACCAACACTATAAAAAAAGTTAACTACTTTTAATGAATTTGCACCAAAATTTAAGCACTTTATATAAACCAGTTTTATGAGAACCAAAACCTCCAAAATTTCATGAGTATGGTCCATAATTGATCATTATTATTAGTTGACCACCGTTCAATGCTTCTTACAGAAAATCAATTTATTGTCGAATTAGTTACCAAAATTTACAAAATTTATCTACACCAAAATGTACTGTTTAAAAGGATTGAGATGAATCCGAAACTGGATTTTCGAGATATGTTTGAAGAAAACTGATTTTTAGGCATATTCAGACGTTATGTTATCTGAAAGTCTAATCTGTCGATTTTAAATTTAATAAACAGCCATAAATAAAAATGCCTTTGAATGGCTTCGTTTCAAAAATCAAATTAAATTTTCCTCGATTTTGTGATATCATACCATTTTAGAAAGTTTTTGTATCTGTTATCACAATGCTGCAATATTTTTTTTAATTCCATCTATATATCTGCGACATTTAAGATTTGAAAATCATGCTTTATTCCTATTTTAAGAACCAATAGGAACAAACAAGAAGAAAATCCTAATTTCGCATTTTTATAACGTTCCTAAAGTGTATTACGAAAAACCTATTAAATACTCTAAAGCATACTTTAAGGAGCTATAGAAATATTAAATAAAATTGTGTTTGCAATGTTCAATACATCTTACAATAGTAACCGATTTAAAATATTTAAGTCTTCTGATTTTTCTATTAAAAAACATGAGAAAAAATATTTCCATAAATATTATATCATTTAAAAGGGTATTAATATAAAGGCAGCTGGTAGAACGTATTTAAGATTTGGCTAAGCCGAATACAGCACCCAAACTTGTTTGAAATAATATATTATATTAAACCGACTCACAAAAAATGGTGCTTGAGTCAAAACAGCACCCCCCATTGAAATAAAATGGAAATGCTTCTTCTTTTTCTTACGATTCCGTTTCTTGTTGGAATACCAATATTCGATCGTAGCGTAACTGAATGCGAAACCTAATCAAAATGAATGTGGGTGAATATTTGAAAACATTTTAAAACAATGTCAAACGAACTTAATAAATAAAAAAGAAATTGTTTCAACAAAAAAATAATAAAAAATATATTTAAAACGGGAATATTCAAGTCTATAAATTCAAAAGTGAACAATATTGAAAGAATTTATTAAATGCACAATGAGACTGTTCAAGTCTAAATGGTCGCGCAAAACTTATAAGTGTTGTGCAAATCAAATCCCATATAATTTGTGGCAATTCAATTGCGAGAATGGACTTTTAATCGTTTACATGAGTACTCTTATTATATTTTTTCAAATAAACTAAAATTTAATCAAAATAATTCATATTACAAGTGAAGTAGTAGAATTCGTTGTGATAGATGTTTTATATTTAAAATTTCGTCAAGCATTTCAATTCGAATCGAAATTTTCTCCGTTTGGCAACTTTGGTATTCTGCATTTCGATTCGATCGTTGAATGCGTAAACGTAATCGATATGCAGAATAGGGGTTAATATAAAATACATAGGAATTTAAGTCGTGTTCAACATTCGTTTAACCAATTTAACCAAAAAACTCATATTCGATTAAGCCTCTCGTTATAAGGCCGATTTTATTAATATTTTGAATGAACTTAGAGCCTGTTCGGAAATGCTTGCAGAATTATAATAAAGTGCAATAAAGTCGAAACACATAAAATCATAAAAATGCCTGATGGGGTGCGTAAGTATTTAGATTTTAGTTTTTAATGAAATGTATTGTCATTTACATAAAATGCCGTCCAGTGATGCTTTTCTGAACAGTCCCTTATTCATATAATACAGCTATGATAAAAATTAAGTTAAAATTTTACAAATGAAGCCTGATTTTATTTAAATTACATATCTTGATAGGTATATAAGTGCTATTCCTAATATTATTTTTTAATACTTTTTCTTCTTAAATTCTCGTCTTCCATAGATTCAATTTTTTTTATTAAATTCTTTGCTTTGGCTATAGCATTATCAATATCTGAAAATCTGTTAGGAGATTTTAAATTTTGCCTTTTTCTCTTTTGCGTTGTATGGGATGATTGGTTCATAACCACATTGATAGATTTGTCAATGTCGTGTGTTAAATCCGTTAGGTACGAATCATCATATTGACCAATTTTCTTCGCCAATTCGAATTGATAAAGTGAATCGTCTAATGTCCGCTTAAGTTGCAAATTCGATGACATATTTAAGGAAGGAATTTTATGCCGTATACTCTTTTTAAATCTTGATATGTTTTCTTCTGCTTTACGAGAAGTTAATTCTGCCTTAGCTATAATATTGTCAATAGCTTCCGCCGAAACACAATTTTCATTGTTCTTTTGCCGTAATGATCGATCCTGTGGTAAACAAGAGGGAGTTTTATTGTAATCAACAGTTATTAAATTTAAAGGTCCATAATTAAGCCACCAGGGTTGTGTAAGGTAGTTTTTAAAGTCATCTTTGAGGTATACAACGTTTATGTTTATAAGATCATTATGAAAACGTCTTAGCATTTTATTGATATGTGCAAATACAATAGGTTTAATAATCGTCAAATAATTCACCATGCCCACCGTTGAAGTTAATTCTATGTTCTGCAAATATTGAAATTTGATTTGATTGACAAGATTTGTTATAGCTTCGTACGACGCATTTGCAGATACTAGCTCATCGTCTTTGATGCATTTTGAGGTATAATTCAGTATCCATAATTTTAAGTCTTCAATATTTTCAGGAATTCTTTCTTCTATATCAGGCAAGTATAGACTTTCTAGAAAGTTTTTAATAACACTGGCTTTTGCTTCTGTTTTCCAGTTAATAGGAAAACACTCCAACCCCAGGGGAATGTTATTTTCTGTATTTTCCGAGACAAATTCTTTTAATTCCGTAGGAAATTCTGGCATCTCCTCAAAATCTTCTTGTGTAATATGCAATAAATGGTCCAAAGATTTGTGAAATATGCCCACTACATGTTTAGGTTGACAACAGATTTTGTTAAAAATTGGATTTCCCTTAGCAGACTCGAGCCATCGTTGCCACATTTCCTCGCCAAGCGAAGTTTCTAGAAAAGGTAAAACTTTTTGCATAGCTAAAGCATGTACTTCATTAAAATTTAATAAATAACTTTCTTTTGTTATAAAATCAATAGCATTTATAAATAATTTTCGAAAACTGAAATCTTTTCTACTTATTCGACATCCAAAAATTTTATAGGAATATATTAAACCTTCTTCTTGCAACATATCTAAACATAACATTTCAGCAAGTTGTTCTATATTGTACGGGCAGTTATATGCAATAACTGCTAGCGGAACACGCTTCAAATTTTTTGTTATTTTTAGTAAGTTCAAAAGACGCTTACGGCTATGCCTTTCAATTTCGATTCCAGAAATGAAACATACTATACCATCGTTATGGTCCCCTTCAGTTGTCACTATATCTCCTTGTTCATTTTTGGGAATTATGCCATTCAATTTTCGCACACACAAAGCTACGTTATGCTCAATACCTTGAACAAAAGGTCCGATTTCAGTTTGAGACTTTTCTATAAATTTTCTTAACCATTTGTTAGAAAAACTTCCAAATCCGAGTAGTTCCTCGTTGCTTTCAGGTAGAGTTATAAGAAACTTAAAGTATTTCCTTTGTTGTAAAACACCGCACGATGGGAAGTTTCGTTTTCCAAGTAAATGCTGACCCACTAAAGCAAATAAATTTATCGGATTCTGATTTTCATCATGCAAAACATCTCGCTCTAAGTTTAAAATTTTTTGAAAATCACAAGGCTGACCCAAACGATAACGTTTAATCATTCCTAAGTTCTTCTGCTGGCTAGGATGTTCGATAGCTTGCGCAAATTGTGCTCGTGTATCTGTGGTGACCCATAGCGGAGTGTTTTCTATCAATCTCCTTTGTTCTTTTTTCTTGCGTAAGTGCAGTAACCATCTGCTAAAATAGCGATGCAATAGCAATTGGTCATAACACATTAACGCATATTCTTCATGCGCAATTTCGTCGACACACTCGTTTACAACTTCGGTGATTAATAATTCTATTTGCAGATCTGAAGCTTGTTTTACCGCTTGATAAACAAGAATTTCAGCTTGTGCTATTCTAGATATTTCTTCTTCAATTGAATGAATTATAATTATTTCTGTTTCTTGTTTTGATTTTTCTTTTAAAATAATTTTCAGTTGATCCAGTCTTTGTCTTTCATGATCTTCTTCCTGTTTTCGTTTTTCTCTTAAACATTTCTCTTCTAAATCTCTGAGTTTATTTGTTTCTTCTTGAATTTTTTCAATTTTTTCTTTAAGTTCCGTTTTTAAAGCAATATTTTTTTCACTAATTTGTATCAAACTGTTATTGCCTTTAATATTGTTTTCACTTGAATTGTGTGGGCAATTAGGGAGTTCTTTGATGCTTTGAAAGTGCTGAAATACATTGTCCACTTTAGATAAGTCTTTAGAAATGTGTTGGTTTTGGAAAATGTTAACCGTTTCTCTTGCAGCTTCACCAAAAATGTTTGCACTTTTTGATTGACTTTTTGTTGCGACTACACCAAAAACATCCGATATAGGGTTTTCGGTATTGGACTTAGATATTGTGTTAAGAAACGAAGATTGTTCAGGTCTTGTATCGGTCTTAAAAATAGATTCATTTGTAGTGGTTGTCGCAAAAATATTGCCGCTAAATTTAAAACCCCCTGGTGAAAATTTTTCTTCTTTCTTTACAATTATTGTATCAAATACTTTTATTTGTGTGTCTTCGGGGGCTTTTTGTTCATGTTGTCTTTGTTGTTTGGGAGATATAGGATCTATTATTTGTGGTATTTTAAACAAATTTGTGTCGCTGCGTGCAGATAAAGCTTTGAAGGAAGTATCATTCTGCGGTATATTTTGAACCTTCGTTTCAGAGTGTACCCCCCTTAATTGGTCATCTGCTGTCCACGATTCGATATTAAGCATGCCATTTACATCAAAACTATTGTGTGGCTGATGATGTTCGAATAAAGATGCCGGTGGTAATGTTTGTCCAAAAACACATTCACCTACAGATGTAATTCGCTTAGACTCTACAAGCTAAAAAAATATTTGATTACTATAATATATACATATTACGTTTTTTCATTAATTATTTTACCTGTAGTGCTCTATCCATTGCATATTCCACGTCTGGTTTAACTAAACGATCTATTAATACTCTGTTCTCCAAGATATCACAATTAAGGCCATAGTGATGAAAAAAGCTTACTGCAGAGGATTCATCGTCAAATCCCAGAATACGGGTCAAATACGATAACGGCAAATATACATCATTCTTACGCCAATTGTGAGATTTTATGATTGCGTCCATTGCTCTTACTCGTAGCTTTGTAAAATATCCTAATAAAATACATGCAGACAAGTAGGATGTTTTATTTGACTTGATCATTGAAAAAAATCGAACAAAGTTGTTATTCTGTAAAGCATTATAAAAAGCAATTGCACGCTTTATTTCTACACTCTTTTGGATGAACTCTGGCAGCTGCTTTACTTCCCACAAGAAATTTGAGTCTCCCAAATTTAAAAGTATGACATAGCTTCGAAACTCAGCTTCACAAGGACATACAATTCCCTTGATTCTTAAATCGTGATACATATATTTTAATGTTTGCAGGCATTTTGTTAAATTCTCGGCGTTTATTTTTTTATCAAAAACTGAAGGATCTTCAGCAACTAAACGTGCAGCACAATGTATATGGAATCTTGCACACTGTTCGACTAATTGTACCGCTCCCAAAGAACATAGTTCTTGCTGAGTTATGTCTTTCCTTATGGAGCGTGTTCGATCCCATACGAAATGAAACCAGTCTCCCAAGGAAGTTTTAGGATCATCACATAAACCCATTATACGGTGTACCAAATATAACATTGTCATTTGTAAAACAGATTCAGATCTTAATTCATGCGAGAGAGGCACTTCTTGGTCTGCACTACTACGAGAATATTCCTTTACTGCCTTTCTATGTGAAATTGTAGATTCACTGCCTTCCTCTTCAGCCATCTCAAAAGTGGAAACCTATAGATCAAAAAATACATAAACATAGAGATATTTTACTGAAAGCGTCCCAGTTGGTCAGATCGTTATGTACAGTGTATCACATAAGTATTCGAATAAATTTTTTGGGTGTAAAATTAATTTGTCATATTGTCCAGACAGTTCTTAGCTTTGATATCACACTATTTAAAACTTAAATAATTTAAATTTAATTAAATTAATTTAGATTTTTGTTGTAATATATATGTACTTTGGTCCACATTGCACATCGGGGTCTCCTTTAAGTAAACTTGGCATAAAGTAAAGATTTAGAAATGAGTTTTTTGATAAAAAATTAATATGCATGGAAAGCTTAGACTTTTTTCTATATAACGCTATCTTTAGTTTTCCCATTTTTATTGTATAGGCCTTTAGATGATGCAGCAAAGTTTATGTTTTTATGTATATTGCATCAATAGCCACTTCAGGTTACCCGGAGGAGTCAAATCCAACGAGCGGGGATGTGATCACTAGCTCGCTGGAAGACAGTTTAAATGGATGACAATGATTGAAGTTATCCAAATAAACCTCCATCGGAGCGAGACAGCTACCAACGCTCTGATGGCTAAAATTAACACAGGTAAGATACATATAGCTTTAATCCAGGAACCTTGGACGATTCGCAACAAGGTTTCTGGATTAAATCACGTAAATTTCCAACTTTTCTACGCTGATACAGGGTCTCGACCGAGAACATGTATCTTATGTCACAAGAATTTATGTTTTCTCCTCTCAACAGGATTATCCACATCGGATGCAACGGTACTGAAGCAAGGTCGTGGCAACATATACCTTGCATCTGTTTACCTGCCTTTCGATTCTCCGACACTACCACCAACGTCGAAGCTGATGAAACTGGTCGAAGAGGCACAAAGGCAAAATAAGAAAATTTTAATAGGTTGTGATGTCAACTCGCACCATGTAGTTTGGGGTAGTACAAACACCAATCGCAGGGGACAAGCCCTTATGGATTTCCTTAATACTAAAGACTTGATCACATCGAACTTAGGTAATAAAGCTACCTTCGTCAATAGAATCAGAGAAGAAGTATTAGATATAACTATATGTTCAGAAGAGCTTATAAACGAAATTCAAATTTAAGCAGCATGCTTATGTAAAGGGACGATCGGTGGAAACCGCTTTAAACGAAGTTGTCCACTACATAGGTGCATCCAAAATTCAAATTTAAGCAGCATGCTTATGTAAAGGGACGATCGGTGGAAACCGCTTTAAACGAAGTTGTCCACTACATAGGTGCATCCTTTGATAGCAAACTGTATACACTGGCGGTATGCATTGACATCGAAGGCGCCTTCAATAACGTGCACACTGATACTCTTATCCAAACCCTAGACCAGTTTTATGTTGACCGGGTGCTCCGCTCCACATGCTAAGGAACAGATGGATAAGCTGCGAGATGTACGATATAACTATCAGGAAAAATGTATTTCGCGGTATACCACAGGGTGGCATTTTGTCACCTTTACTTTGGGTTACCACGATTAATAGCCTCCTAAGGACCCTAACTGAGAAAGGACTTAGACCTGTCTGCTATGCAGACGATGTCGTAATACTTTTAAAGGGAAAGGATCCAAATTACTTGTGTAGAAGAGCTGAGGTGGCTCTGAATACGGCCTTGAGCTGGGCTCAACCGAGAGGCCTCAATGTTAACCCGGCAAAAACGGAAATCTGTCTTTTCACAAGAAAGACAAAAATTTCTACGTACACTGAACCTTGCTTCCTGGGCAAGAAGATACCAGTGGCAGACAAAGTTAAGTACTTAGGTGTAATCCTCGACCGGAAATTAAAATGGAGACACCACATAGAGGATAGGATCAACAAGGCACATCAGTGCTGGGCGATATGTAGGAGAACCATAGGCATGAAATGGGGTCTTAGTCCTACTATGACAAATTGCCTTTATAAAAGTGTAATTAGACCAATTCTAGCTTATGCTTCAATAATCTGGTGGACTGCTTTAAACAAAAAGTGCAATATCAAACTACTACAGGGAGTTCAGCGTACATGCTGCTTGGGTATAAGTGGTGCCATGTGTACTACTTCAACCACGGCTCTGGAAACGTTGCTAGATATACCACCCATTGAAACATATTTAAGATATGAGGCGGCGCTTACAGCCGAACGGCTCTTTACTTTAGGCGAACTGGCCAAAAGCGGTTATAGGACACGTCATCAATGTATACTGGACACATTGGAAGGTTATACACAATCATCGGACGTGCCTAATCTTATACCAGAAACAGAATATGTCGGAAACTTTGAAACGCTGATCCCAGATAGAATGTCTTGGTCAAGCGGAACATTAGAGCAAATACCATTAGCTTTAAAGGGAAGGGAGCTCGAGGCAGTTAAAATGACAAACGCAAAACCATTCGACGCAACAAAAGCTGAACTAAAAATATGGGTGAGATAATCCCATAAGGCCTCTTGAAATAATGAAACAGTGGGTAGAACCACGAAGATCCTATAGGGTGACCCTGATGAGAGCAAGACGAAAAATCTCCTCAAAATGAGCAAGTCTGAAGTTAGTATGATAGTACGTATTCTGAGTGGACTCACAGGACTACGAGCACATCTATGTAAAATTGGACGTGCGGATTCAGACAAATGTAGAGCATGTGGAGAGGACAGTGAAACTCTGGAGCACTTTCTTTGCCACTGCCAGGCATTCGGCGAAGTTAGATCCAAGTATTTTGGAAGTGATGTTATTCCGGAAATAACATTTCTGACTAACACTTGATTGGAAGATTCTTAGGAATTACGTTCAGGAAACTGAGTTTCTGAACACTGAAAAATAATTTTTTTTTTTCAAGGAGCGCACAACAGGCCCGACAGTGGCCTAGGTGTATTTCTTCGGATTTGATGTAGTATACATCCTCCTATCGACCTACCCTACCCTACCTACCATGTATATTTTTTCCAAATTTTTTTTATTATTTAATACCATAACTTTTTTTGTACGAATCTACCCTTTTATATAAAATTTCTAAAAATTTTCTTTTTCGATACCAAATATACTTTTGTTATGTATGAAAAGATATTATTTTAAATCATCTTTATGTGTGTGAAGTTAAATTCGAATTTAACTAGCAGAGACACAAACCACATTTCTTAACATTGCTCTTTTTGCAGCTAACAGAGCAATGTTAAGCATTTAACAGAAAGTACATGAAAAATTAAAAATACATTAAAATTTTCAGAAAATGAAAAACGAAAATTTCAGAACTTAAAAAAATATGAAAAATAAAAAAAATATTTTTTGAAAAAAATCAATATTTTAATAAAAAAAAAATTAAAAATTCTCTAAAAAATCAATATTTCAATAAGAAAAATGTTAAAAATTCTCTAAAGGATTGGTGTCCAATTTGGACAAATATGGAAATGCACACGTATACCACTATATAGGAGTAGTAGCCTAAAGGGTCCCTAACAGGATTCCGGTAGTCATATGTCTGGAATAGTTTTGGAAGTTTTTTAAAAATTTGTTTAAAAAAACAATATTTCAATAAGAAAAATGTTAAAAATTCTTTAAAGGATTGGTTTCCAATTTGGACAAATATGGAAATGCACACGTATACCACTATATATGAGTAGTAGCCTAAAAGGTCCCTAACAGGATTCCGGTAGTCATATGTCTGGAATAGTTTTGGAAGTTTTTTAAAAAAATGTTGAAAAAATCAATATTTCAATAAGAAAAATGTTAAAAATTCTTTAAAGGATTGGTGTCCAATTTGGACAAATATGGAAATGCACACGTATACCACTATATAGGAGTAGTAGCCTAAAGGGTCCCTAACAGGATTCCGGTAGTCATATGTCTGGAATAGTTTTGGAAGTTTTTTAAAAAATTTTTGAAAAAATCAATATTTCAATAAGAAAAATGTTAAAAATTCTCTAAAGGATTGGTGTCCAATTTGGACAAATATGGAAATGCACACGTATACCACTATATAGGAGTAGTAGCCTAAAGGATCCCTAACAGGATTCCGGTAGTCATATGTCTGGAATAGTTTTGGAAGTTTTTAAAAAAAATTTAAAAATATGAATATATTTAAAGCAGTAATGCTAAAAATTCTCTAAAGGATTGGTGTCCAATTTGGACAAAAAATGGAAAAGCACACGTATACCACAATATGGAACGGGTAGCCTAAAGGGTCCCTAACAGGATTCCGGAAGTCAAATTTCTGGAATACTTTTGAGTTCCAAATTGGACACCAATCCTTTAAAGAATTTTTAGCATTAATGCTTGAAATATATTGATATTTGTAAAAAATTAAAAAAAAAATCCAAAACTATTCCAGAAATATGACTTCCGGAATCCTGGTAGGGGACCCTTAGACTAATACTTCCATATAGTGGTATACGTGTGCATTTCCATATTTGTCCAAATTGGACACCAATCCTTTAGAGAATTTTTAACATTTTTCTTATTGAAATACATATTGATTTTTTAGAGAATTTTTAATTTTTTTTTATTAAAATATTGATTTTTTCAAAAAATATTTTTTTTTATTTTTCATATTTTTTTAAGTTCTGAAATTTTCGTTTTTCATTTTCTTAAAATTTTAAAGTATTTATTTTTAATTTTTCATGTACTTTCTGTTAAATGCTCAACATTGCTCTGTTAGCTGCAAAAAGAGCAATGTTAAAAAATGTGGTTTGTGTCTCTGCTAGTTAAATTCGAATTTAACTTCACACACATGCACTGAAAATAATCAATGCTCAACTTTACGAAAAAAAATTTCGTAACTTCTATTTTCGTAATATTTACAAAAAATTTCGTGTATAATACGAAATATTATTTAATAAAACTCTTTTCTATTTTTACGAAAGTACGAAAACCTTTCGTAATATTTTTTTCTTAAATTTTAGCGAAATTAAACATGATATTAATTATATTATCATTAAATAAAACTACAATATTTTTATAAAATTTAAGAAAAAGTATAATATTATTCACGAATTATTTTCATAAAAAAAATTAAAAATTCGTGTGGAGAATAATTTTGAATTAAAATTAGAAAAATTATTTTAAAATGAACAAAAATGTTTGCATAAATTAATATTTCGTAAATTCCATACCATATTTATTCAAAATTCCCTTTTTTCAATTTATGTAAATTAATTTTTTCAAGAATATTTTGCATTATACTAAAATATTTCGTACAATTTCGTATATACATATTACGAAAGAATTTCGTGGTGCGAAACAACGAACGATTCGTACAATGTACGACATTTTTCGTATATATTAGGCATGGATTTTTTTCAGTGTACTTCACACACATATCATCTTTATAGACAAAGATTTAATTTTTAACGACTCAGGCTCACTTTTCTAGCACTCCATGATATGAAAATATTTATATTTTATTTAAAATCTAATTATTGAATGCAAAATGAATTGATTTACATAATCAGTAAAATAGTATAAACTAGTAAAATAATGACTGGACGTGCTATTGATTGATGCTTTATTGATCTTACATTCTTGTAAATAAGTTTTGCAAGAATATTAGACGGAATCTGTTTGTACAGAAAAATTCTTGATGAGAAGAGTAACTCTCATGAGAGTTTGGAATCACTTGAAAGGTTTTTTTCAAGATATATATAAATGTAATACAAATATTTCGTAAATAAAATTTTTAAAAATTTTGTTTTGAAAATTGTGCAAAAAAATTGCATTAAGTGCAACTTTTTCTATTTTTACTTCGTATCTAGGGGACTTCCTCTATCCATCGATACCCATAATTGATAACAACACATTGTAGCTTAGTTAAAGTTTTGTTCAAAAAGACCCCACTGTGCAATGTCTTGGAAATTGAAAATATATTAGTGCTAGTATCTACAAAAAATTATACACTAACCAACTTTGTCGGAAAATATCGATCCTAGTGCTACGATAAGGGACTTAAAATTCACATAAATCAATTAGAAATAGAAGAATAATCCCAAAACCAAAAAAGTATTTTTAAATTTCTCAAGTGGTATTTTAAATCCAAAAATATATAGTTTCGGTTGATAGCAACTCCTTAACACTTTTAAGCCTAAAAACAAATGTAGCACATGAAAAAAAGTGCCATTTGTCCGAAAAAGTCGTCAGTGATTTGCTCCTGATGTCGCCGAATTTATGATTTAACATTGTTTATAACTAGAGTCAGAGAACATAGTAGAGAATCGTTAGATTTAATAAAAACGACTTCTATATTTTTTGGTTTCAGCCTTAAAATTTCTATTTATAATTTTCTAATAAAATAAGTTAAATTTTTATGTAAAACATTATTTTATTCTCATTTAACATATTTTATTTAAAATCTAATTATTGAATGCAAAATGAATTGATTTACATAATCAGTAAAATAGTATAAACTAGTAAAATAATGACTGGACGTGCTATTGATTGATGCTTTATTGATCTTACATTCTTGTAAATAAGTTTTGCAAGAATATTAGACGGAATCTTTGTACAGAAAAATTCTTGATGAGAAGAGTAACTCTCATGAGAGTTTGGAATCACTTGAAAGGTTTTTTTCAAGATATATATAAATGTAATACAAATATTTCGTAAATAAAATTTTTAAAAATTTTGTTTTGAAAATTGTGCAAAAAAATTGCATTAAGTGCAACTTTTTCTATTTTTACTTCGTATCTAGGGGACTTCCTCTATCCATCGATACCCATAATTGATAACAACACATTGTAGCTTAGTTAAAGTTTTGTTCAAAAAAACCCCACTGTGCAATGTCTTGGAAATTGAAAATATATTAGTGCTAGTATCTACAAAAAATTATACACTAACCAACTTTGTCGGAAAATATCGATCCTAGTGCTACGATAAGGGACTTAAAATTCACATAAATCAATTAGAAATAGAAGAATAATCCCAAAACCAAAAAAGTATTTTTAAATTTCTCAAGTGGTATTTTAAATCCAAAAATATATAGTTTCGGTTGATAGCAACTCCTTAACACTTTTAAGCCTAAAAACAAATGTAGCACATGAAAAAAGTGCCATTTGTCCGAAAAAGTCGTCAGTGATTTGCTCATGATGTCGCCGAATTTATGATTTAACATTGCCCTGTGGTTAAGAAAATTTTATTTTTGGAAATAATTCGGTATTCGGAGTTTTTGAGTTTATTGGCAGTTGTAGGCGATCGTGGGCGGAATGGGGGCCAGTGGGTAGCCGCTCAAAGTTGATCGCCTCAGGTATACATTAAAAAATCGTCCATTAATGATATGAATGACTTGAAATTTAAAATGCAAAACATGTGTGGATTATATCCTTTGTTTTGTCAAATATTTAGGTTTAAATTTTTTATTTTTAAATTTTCCGATCAAATTTGATCAACTCGAAAACACCTCAGCTCCAAACATGTAAACTTTCATTGCGATATATCCAATAGTTTCAGAGATACCGAATTATTTTCAAAAACAAAAGATTCCAAACCACTGTGCATTGTGTTGTACGCATCATCGATGATGTCTTGAAGACTTGTCCGAAAACGATACTTTTATCATAATTTTAAGTTTAGTTACATTACCTGCCTCTGGAATTCTCTCATCAATCTTTCTTTTTCTGGACACATATCAGGACAAGTTCCCTTTGCTGCCACTGCCTTCCTAATATCTGTCTGTCGAACAGTCGTCAAACGTATTAATTTATCTCTTGCCTCTAAAACTCTATACTTTTCTTCATGTGTGAAAGCTGGAGTTTTTAAATATAGCTTCCAATTCGTTGCGGACCATACTATCAACTTTTATTTCCGGTTGGGGAGAGTTCTGTCTAACCTTTAGTGAAATATTTGGATGAGCCAATGCGTTTGTTTGTTTAGGAAAACGATTCAAAACATTGGATTTTGCAATAATGGGGCCATCAATCCCTTCGATGTTTTTAAGCTTGCTCCAAGTCTATGTCCCGGAGACATTGCCTCTAATTCGGCTTGCACGTCTGGATCAACCCATTCTTCCGTATTTTGTACATGAGCCACTTCATGTTCAGCATAATTAACTATAAAATCTACACCATTGAATCTACCCGCATTTTCGAAAGCGTTTTCCGCATCCTCCTTACTTCATATTCCACAGTGCAAATCAAACGCTTCGGTCTTAAGATAAATTTTTTGATCTTCCCAAATTTACTGAAATGTTTTTTTGCAACTATTTTATCTAAAAATAACTCGGGGATCTGTTCACAACTATAAAATAAAAAAAAAATAAAAATATATATTTTTTGTTTAATAAAATACACACGTTATTGCACTGTAATTGGTTCTGTCTTCCCTCGCCCCATATTCCACATCTTCGGACATTATCTATATTATCTATGGATCACTAAATTTACTAGAAAAATATATAATTTTCTTTTTTGAAAATCTTCAAGTAAACTTAAGAAAATACGCGTATGTTGATATAAGTGATGCCAGATTTTTTAAGAAAAACTTACGCTTATGAGAAATAGAAAAAATTCCTTAAATCGACATGGCCACACATCAAATTTGTTGACTCAAACGGTAAGTTTTTTTTATTTTTAGCAGTTATTATTTTAGTTTCAAAGAGATTTTCTTTGTAATTTTAAAATTAGATTATAAATTGAAAAATTAATTTTTAGTTGCTAAAAAATATGAAATTGGAATAATTTGACAAAGTAAGAATTATTTTTCCCTACATGTGAAAATCCTATAAAAACCCTACATATGGTATCACTGGTAGATATGAAACAATTGGCGCACAACCCGGCGAATTCACATAAGGTGGTGTTATTCAATCAGCTGATTATTTTTTTCTTCACTTGATGGTACGCACCAGATATATTAATTATAAGGTAGTGTTATCAGAACAGCTGATCGTTTTTTGCTATTATGTTCATTTTTCGCCGTGGGTGTATAATTAATGATAAACTTTGTTTACATTTTGTATATGTGAATTTTGTGATTAAAGTGAAATTGAGTGATTAGGGTATATTTTTGTGTTTTTAATCTTAAAAGTTAAACATCAAATAAAGTATAAATATATTGAAATTTATAAACATTTTTGTTTAATATAATTCGCTTTGATTTATTTGTCAGCTGTTTTTGAAATTTTTCCTTTACAGCCAATTCGCCTTCAAGTGCAAGCACAATGTCAAACTACATATAACAAAATATAACCAATTCGTTTGGTATTCTGAATTCGCCGATGGACACTACCTTATAAAATTAATATACCTTGTTATTGTTTACATTTTCATATTGAAAAAAAATTTGCTGGAGTAGAATTTTCCATTCACAACAAAGATTCTTTCATTCGGTATATACTTTTTCCATAAAGTTTCACATCTTTATGTTTATTTTCACAAAAATATTAATTTTACATTAATTTTGGACAAGAACTTAAGTTCTTGTAAAATTAATCTGCCGGAGTAGAATTTTCATTTGGAACAAACATTATTACCACTCAGGGTATATTATCTAAAAAATTTAAGTATTTTTATAAATATAAAAATTCAATAAAATATTTTCATTAAATGAATTCGCCGGATTATTGTTTTTGACATCAGTGGGCACCAAATGCAAAAACAAATTAATGGAAAATTTTTGTTGCCGAACTGCCATCACCATGGCGAAACTAATACGGTGAAGTCCATTTCAACAGCTTATTTTTTTTTGTCCGTGGAAATTTAGCCCGAAGTTGTCAAACTCCATATAAAAAAATCTCTCTCAAACCCGACGCTGTCAAACTACATATATAAAAAATTTCATGAATTCGCCGCAAAATGAAATGACTTCACCTTATAGTCTATTCGCCTTGGCCGCCACCTTATCTGAATTCGCCTTGAACACCACCTTATCTGAATTCGCCTTGTTACAACTTATCTGAATTCGCCTTGGCGCACAATAGCAGAGACCTGCGCCGACAAACATTAACGAAGAAGGCCTCAGACAATAAAGCTGTAAGCCGGCTATTTTTTAACGATATTATACCAGAGATACAAGCCGAGACGGCTCAAATCGGCGGCGGCTGGCCGCCGGTAATATTTTGCAAGCCGCGCCGCCGCCGACTTCTTTCGGCTCAAAAGCCAAGCCGGCTTAAACGTAGCCGCTGATAAAGATTAGAATCGCACATGTATTTCAGAACATAATTTCACCAATTTGAACGGAGTTGCCACTATTTTAAATTCTTGTGGCTAACTGAAAAGAGTTGCCACACAATATTGTGCTAATATTAAAATGGTGTGAAAACTACTATAAATGTCCATTTTCTGCAGAAAAAAAAACTTATATAGAGACAGGTTTCTATGTAACAGACTATTATGGAAAGATTTTTCAATATAATAAACCTTATAAAGTCAATTTCTAAAGAAAAAGTTAAATTGAGCCGATAATTTAGCCGCCGCCGATATTTTCTGTAATGAGCCGCCGCCGCCGACCCAAAATGGTTGCGCCGCCGCCGATCATTTCGCAACGGCTTGTATCTCTGTATTACACCATGTCTATACTTGACAAAACACTGATCGAGACGTCTGCAGAACTGTAAATTTTTTGTTATATCAATGCATAGGAGAATTAAAATGCTGGTTTTAACACCACAAATCACAATTTATTTAACATAATAATGCTATATAGTTTATATCAAGATATATTAATTATAAGGTTGTTTGTGCTGGTTCACACAGGAAAACTTTTTTTGGGAAACTTTTGACACAAAATCAAAAGTTTATTGCCAATGCACTATTATTTTTTTATATATGGCCACACGTCAATATTTTGATCAAAATATGTGTATGTCCTTCTTTACATTGAAACTTTTTCCCCTGGGCTTTTCAAAATTTTCTTTTAAATGCCCTTTGTAAAATCTTGAATGTTTAGCTGTATGTTTTAGTTCTTCTTATAGTTTTTATTTTTTATTAAAGATAAAATAAGATTTTAATACTCATAACATTTGAAAAAATAAATTATTTTTAAATTAATTGAAATATGTAAATAATTAAATTATTTCAAATGGCAACATTAATTCATGTGTGAGAGTAGTCGCACAAGAGATTACGCTGTGAGAGCAGAATAGAAATAAACAGCCGGTCCAGACTAGGAAACTGCCGGTCCACACTAGGAAACTTTTTTTGGGAAACTTTTGATTTTGCATGCGAGAGAAAGAATATCATTTATCTCTTTCGCGTTCTCAACAAAAGTTTGCTAGTGTGGACCAGGTCTAATATTAGTCGACAAAATTAATGAAAAATCTGTGCATCACGTAGAAATGGAATATTTATATTTAAAATTAACTGGATTAACGTATTGAAGACGGAAAAAGGGCCACCTTTGTGTCGAAAATATATTATTTTAGTCTTTTCCAACTAGATCACTTTCACTTACATATACAGGAAATAAACATTACAAATTACGTAATACTTTACTTTATAAAAGTTATACAACAAATTTATGGGGCCTAGCTTCGTCCTGATAAACACCCGAAAAAATGAGATTCAAGAAGTCACCAACAAATTTGGGATTATTGAACAAAAATTGTGTATTTAGTATTTATGAAAAATTTGGAAATATTTGAAAAATTTTTATATACATACATACATATGTATGTATAAATGCTGAATATTGTTTATTCATGTTTTGTTTGTTCGACTTCGCGGACCCCATAGGATTTTGCTACAGACCACAAGGGGTCCGCGGACACCCATTTGGGAACCGGTGGTCTAAATAGTCCAAACACTAATTCATATAGTTCCTGTAAAATAGACAATAAAATAATTATTCTATTGTCTATAGCATCACTTCCCAGGTATTTCAATTTTCGTTTATTTTGTCTCACTGTGTAATCTGTATATACTTAATTTAATTTGTTTAAGCACGAAATGCAAAAGTGTAAACAGCTGATGCAAAAAAATTAATACAATTTTTATAAATATAAACATTAAAATGTTCTATTTATTGATTAGTATAAATTATGGAGACTTCAAAATACATTTTTTTGTTTTTAATTGAAGTTTTCATTAATTTTCATATTAAATTTACAATTGTTTTCTTCTTTTTTATAAAATATGCATTGTTTTGATAACAAACAGTGACGTTTTCTGTTGTTTGTATGGCAACACTGCGAAGTTTAATCTTGTACTCAAAAACATCAAAGGGGATTTATTTTTAGATTAACTAGACTAACATTTGAATGCCATCTCAAAAACCCGCCCTAAGAGATGGTAACAATTTATAATCAGATTAGTTAATCTGTTAAGTCCTGTTATTAGGCGTTATTCCTAACTCCATTTAATGAATCAAAAATATACTTAATCAAATTTTGATATACAAAAATTGTAATATTTTAGAGCGGGTTTTTGAGATGGTAATCAAATGCCAATTAATAATCAGATTAGTTAATCTAAAAATAAATTTAATCTTATGTTAATCCCCTTTGATGTTTTTCAGTACAAGATTAAACTTTGCAGTATTGCCATACAAAACAACAGAACTTCACTGTTTGTTATCAAAACAATGCATATTTTATAAAAAAGAAGAAGACAATTGGAAACTTTAATATGAAAATTAATGAAAACTTAAATTAAAAACAAAAAAATGGATTTTGAAGTGTCCATAATTTAACTAATCAATAAATAGAACAATTTTAATGTTTATTTATAGAAA